TTAAAGGGGGACATGATAGCTGAGAGGCATATTACACAGTGTGCCTTTCTAAGGGCTAATTACCGCAGAGGCAAGGGCTTTGCTCCTGCATTGAAACTTGCTTAAATAAGTTTTATGCAGATGTAGCCTGACAGTCTGGTCCCAGGAGCAGTACTTTTAGTCTGTTCATTAGTCAGATTTTTGGGTTCAAATAACCCATGACCAAGCAGTTACCAGTGGCCTGGGCTCTTATGCTAGATGCTCGTGTGCTCCTGAGGATCATGTTGGGAGCCAGATTTTACGAAGGACGTCCCAGGCAACCCCTGTGCTTGCAAGACCCTGTGGCAGTGGTGAGCTTGAGCAATCAAGATGTTACAGGCCCCTCTCCATCATAAGAAGGCTCAAGGCAAAGGAATCCTCCTCGAGGAGCAACCCTGAAGGTAGGGCAGCAATAGCTTATAATGTGTCATAGCAAGAAGCTTCACGGATCATGTATCACTGGCACAGGGCAATTTTACAGCAGGAGCCTTTCACGGAACCAGATCCTGTCTTCATTTCTGATCACAACCCCTTTCATTTATAAATTCACAAGGATTTTTTTTTTTTTTTTTTTTTTCAGGAGAAGTAAATTCTGCTCAAAAATCATTAAAAGATCTCTCCTACCACCGATTCCTGATACCACCTCCCAGTGAAAAAAATGTCAAAAAAAAGTTCTATCACTCTTTTTAGCACTGCTATTGCAACCAGGTTCTGGTTCACAGCTCAAGACGTGTGCTCACCCACAACAACAGATAAGCATTAAGGTTTTGCAAGTCTTCCTCTGACAGCTTTCAGTGCAACACGCCTAATACTGCCTTTACCTGCACTCTGGCCAGCTTCAGTGATGTTAATCCCAATTTACATCCAAGTCTGCATACTGAAAATTATATTTACTGCTTAAAAGACAGTAAAGTAGTTGGAAAACGTTGCTGTGCAGCACTGCTGCTGCATGCTTGTTCTGCAGATTTTTCTACAGACGGTCAGCCACTTGGTGGTGCTACAGAAAGGGTCTGCTACGCTCCCTAGAGCAAAGCAGCTTCCTTCCCTTTCATCAACGGTGACCAGAGATCACATTAGATAAAGCTGTGGCAAGAAGCACCTTTTCTCCTTTCTCTTTTCGCCTATGAGCATTGCCATTGCAACGGTCAGGTTGAAATCTTAGAACTCTAGCCATCGTGTTTCCCCACCGAACGCGGGTGTAAAGTTACAACCTCGGCTGATTCATTTCCCTCTATGGGACATTTGATCTACACGTTTCCAACGGAGCTGAAAATTGCGGGAGAGGGGATGTCCAGGAAGAAGTCACCCATTTAAAAATGAACGTGCCTGATGCCACCTCATGATTGCTTTTCTTGATGATCTAGTGCCAATCTTTGTTTTTCTCTGGACTCTTTATCAGGGAATATAGTGATAGGATGAGGGCTAATCATTTTAAACTGAAAGAGGGTAGATTTAGATTAGATACTAGGAAGGAATTCTTTACTGTGAAGATGGTGAGGCGCTGGCCCAGGGTGCCCAGAGCAGCTGTGGCTGCCCCCTCCCTGGAAGGGTTCAAGGCCAGGTTGGACGGGGCTGGGAGCCCCCTGGGCTGGGGGAAGGGGGCCCTGCCCGGGGCAGGGGGGTGGAACTAGATGATCTTTAAGGTCCCTTCCAACCCAAACCATTCTATGATTCTGTGATTACCACCCACAGAAAGCAAGTGTGCAGATGGCACACTCAGGAGCTCACACCACAGTGATGCAGAGCAGAGGAAGAGTGTCAGTCAGTGCAAAGCCAGTGAGATCTGGGAAAACCCCAGGTATATTCTGTAGGTGCCAGCAGGCACACAGGGGTGGAAGGTGAAAGCCCTCCTTTTTATGAAGCCTAAGCAGAAAGGCAACGAAAGCCCTAATGAAGCAAAGTTCTTGAGCTTCATGTCTAGGTCCGAAGGGGGAAATGCCCACAACAAGCTTGCCACATCTGCCCCAGCAAATGAGGGTGCGTTGGAGACCAAGGGAAGGGAACAGAAGCAGGGAGGGATGAGACACTAGACTTCAGACAGTATCATGGCAAGGGGGAATGAATGCGGAGGGAGAAGATTAGTAATTTCCAGTTGTTTTGCAGCAGCATCTGATTGATTCTCGGCAGCCTAACTGGTGTTCTTTGTAGGCTTCGGTGCTGGCAGAGGCTCCTGTGCGTGGAGCCCTCGTGGAGATTAGCACAAGCTGAGGTAAAGTGAGAAGGATTTGGCCTTGCTAAAGCAATGGGAAGTATGCAGAGGTCACGTTGCTCCTCTTATTAAATTTTAATACTTTTTTCATCTTGGTAACAGACCTTCAAACATGTTCTTTAGAAATGAGTGTCCTGTTCCATTAACAATAAATCTGTTTCTTTCTTACAACACAATTAGTGTCAGCAAAGCATTCTGCAGAACCGAGAAGATTTATTTTTGTATAATTCTTGGGAGGCAGGAAAGAGTATTCTAGTTCTGGAGGAGAGATAAGGAGACACAAGTTTAAAAGTGTTTTTAGGCCCTGGGCCAGATTTTCTGCTTCACCACAGCTCATGGAGGAGAGGGAAGCATCTCTTCAAGCCTCTGCGGACTTGCTGGGGAAGGTAGCTCTTTCCTACAGTTAGCATTACCCAAAGCATTGTGCACTTTGCATTGATACAGGGAAGCTGGCAGCATCAATGTGCTGCCTCGCTTCTCCTCGTAGGATTGTGGCTGCATCTTCTCTTAAGATCTATGTTGTCTTTTCGGGGTTGTTAAATTGTGACTGCCTGTGGCCTCAGCGCAGGCTGGAGAAGCCCAGGGGCAGCTGTCAGGTGAACCAGCTAGCATCAGCCCCAAGAAAGTGACCTGTCATTTTAGCATAGCAAGAGCATCTCTTCCTCACCCCAAACCCCCCCATACCCCAGCCCTGACACCCACCCAGCAATGAGGACGGTGTTGGAGTCAGGGGGGGCTGTCACTGCTCTCCTGGACGCCAGCGCACGAGGGGGTGGCGTCCTCTGCTCCCCTACACCTGCTATGGGGGTTTTGGAAATTTGCAATTCCCTTTATGCTGCAGGAGAAGCACAAAGGAAACACTGAGAGCCACAAAACCTTCCCCCTCACAATTCCCTAGCCAGCGAAATGAAATTTTCATGCATAATGAGGCTTTGATCAAGTTTGTCGCTTAGCCAGTTTGCTACTGATTTAAAGAGTTCTCCCTGCTAGCAAACAGGCGTAAGGGATGGGATTTTAAAAAGATCTAATGGAAAATTATATTTTGTTTTCGGGCATCTATATGCAAACAGATTCATTTTCCATTTAACTGCTCTTTGTAGTTTGCTGCCCCAGATTTCTGGGTATGTCCTTTTCCTGTGAAAGTCATGCTATATTGTTGGTACACATCCGAAAGTCATAATATTCTGTTTACGTCTTTCTAATCATTTGCCATAAAATGATTATGTCGCCATTAACAGTTTTTATTATTTGACCTAATTTTATTTACAAGTCATAGACAACACTATTTTCTAGAGCTAGGAAGTGGCTGTAGACAAATGAAAAGTAAACAAAATAAAGCTAAAAGAAGCTGACAGCCTCTGCACTGAATCTGTTTTCTAATTTAGTATTGTTTTGGGTTTGACAAACTAATAAACAGTGAAGGAAAAATGCTGCCAGTCTTACAGCTATGAAGCCATGAGGCACACTATGCTGAATTCCAGTATTTCAGTGAGAATTCAGAGGGAGGTGGGAGCTGGAGATGATTCCTCAGGGCCAGATTATGTCCCTAGCATGGAGCCCGTGGCAAAGGGTGGAGTTCTCCAAAAAAACCCCCCCGGGAAAGAAAAGGGCTGCAGTTCAGGAAGGCACGATTCAGCCCTTGCTCCTCTTTGTCTATGGAGGGAAGGAGTTTGCTGGCCAGCCTACAGCACACAGAAAGAGGGAATAGTGAGCCACATTGCCTGCCGTGTTCCCCACGGATTTGTCTCCTAACAGGAGTGAGGTGGCACACAGGGCCCTTTTCTCCTCTATGCTTGAATCGCATACCCACACTGCCAAGCCAGGGTTGTACCCTGGGAAGTGATGCATGTTATCAGTCACATGTAACAAATGCTGTTCTTTCCGATGAGGTACATTGTATATCTATCATGACATGGTAGATGTTACGTTCTAAGTGTCGTGGGGTCCATTTTCAGTAACTGGGCATGATCTGCTGGTCAGTGACAGTCTTGGGGAAATGCTTGTACAGATAAGTGCATCCAAAGGCATGAGCATCCAGTAACTCATTGATCCCACATGCAGCATGAGTTTTAGCATAACATACTGTGCTTAACCTCCTTCACTCTAAGAAATATATATATTTAAGATAAAAAAAAAAAAAGTCTTTTTTAGTTCCTATACTATTGGAGTAGCCTTACCCTTGTATTTCCAAGAAAACTGGTTATGCACCCAATAGCTGCGTGAAAAGAACTATACAGTCTAGACACAGATCCACAGACCTCAACATCAAAACAAACATCTTGTGCAAAACATACTTTTGGTTTTCTTCATCACAGGCATCATTGCAATGAACACCACACAAAAACCACAACTGAGGCTAAAACGCCGCTCCTTGTAGGATCTACCCCGTGGCTGTGATAGCTCCACTCGATCAGACTGGGCAGGAAATCCCAGAGTCCTGGAGGGACGTATCTGCCCCATCTCATCCGTGAGTCATCCAGGATGAAGGGGTCACGGCGGCAAAAGTTCACGCTTCCCCATTACGTTCCCATACAAACATCTCTGAGCGAAGGCCCCCACGGGGCGCAGCTCCCCGGGGCGGGCCGGCGGCCTCTGCCAGGATGCCCCCGAGGCCGCCAGCACCTGGGTTGCATTTCGCTTCCCCCCCACACACACCCCACCCAGCCCCCATCTCCTCTCCAGCTGCCCCCCGGCCCCAACCCAGCCGGCGGCTGCACCGCTCCGCCCTTTCCGCCACAACCCACAGGCACCGCCGCGATCTGCCCGCGTGTACCTGCCAAGGGCTTGCGGTTGCAGCGCCGAGAACCAGGGTTAAGACACCTCGTTTGCATGGCCCGTTGCGCTGGAGGAGTTGGGGGTTTGGAGGCGTTGCGAAATGGCTGTGGGACAACCGCGCCCGGCGCCGCTTCGGGGAAGCCGTGTGTGTGCGTGCGCGCGTAAGCTACGCCGAGAGCGGCTGTTCCACGTGTGGGAGCCGGCGGTGGGCAAAGCGGGCCGGGCGGGGACCCGGCTGCCGGCCTGTGGCCTGGCGTGGTGATGGTTGAAAGTGATGCAACCAGCCAGTCTCTCAAAATAAGGGCAAAAAAACAGAGGCGGCGGAAGGGAGGAAACCGAGGGCAAAGAAGGGAAGTGATGAGAGGAGGTGAGCGTGCTGCTGAGTGACTTAATTACTTTTTTTCAGTTCTTTTTTGCAGCTTGCATTGGTGACATGCACAACCCAGCAACCGTGGCTCGCCGCAACTCCCGGCTCACGATGATGAAAGCTGCAGTGTTGGTTTTCCTTATTACAGCCTGCTGATGTATGCGGAGTTTAATCCCAAAAGGATTAATGTGCAGGGGGAAGGAGAATGGGGGGGGGTGGTAGTTTGGATTGTGTGGATCATTGATTTAATAAAAAATAGTATATAAATAACAAAATAACAGAGTTTTACTGAAAGAATATCTAAGCTGAATGAGAAATAGGAAAGCAACAGAAGAAGAAGCAATTGTGTGTGCTCAATCCTTCTGGAAACTCTTCAACAGAAGAGATCCTGAGCCTCAGCCCCTACATTTCAGTTTTTTCTACTGTGCAGTTTGGGTTGTTTTTCCGCACCTCTCAGCGGTGTTGAGTGCCCCAGTTTAGCAATAGCATCGAGGAGTTCAGGTATCATGCAGCACTGTTGAGTGTAGAAAAGCAGATTTTACACGGATAAAATCATGTGACATAAACATACAGGCATGCAATGCATATGTAAATATGTAAATGAATTCTCAGTTTCGGAAATGTAAATTCAGCAGGCAACTGGTATCCTCTGTGCTATGGGTATTCCAATAAAACATACCAAGCAGTAGAAGAAATACAGTATTACAGGAAAAAGTGATAACACGTTCATTGTCTAAATTGTCAGTGAAAGCCACTGAAGCAAAGGCTTGAGGCTCGGAAATGGAATTTTAAAAGATGTTTTATGGACATACAGCTCCTCTCCTATTTGAAGTCTTACACTATTATAAAGAACCCTGGCCTAAATTTCAGAGCCCTCTCCAAACAGACGTACAAGTATTCTTCAGTTTCTTTGTTGCCCATAAAGCTCTATCATGGGTCCAGGATCCAGATTCAGAGGGCTTAACTCCACCTAAGTCTCTACAGTTCCCATTGCATGAACATCTCAAGAGGCCTAGAGGCAATCAAATAGGAAGAGTAGATACATGAATTTAGATGGAAGTTATAACCTCTGAATCTGGGCCCTAGATCCAGGTCCAGGTTGTGAGTATTCAGTATTTGACTGAAGTATTGTTTTAATAGTGAACTGACATCTGTGGGATGCAAACAAGACGCACCTCAGAAGACCGCTACTTGTCAGAGTAAAGTTTTTTATACGGCTCACTACAGAGAAAATCAGCGTTGCAATCTTAATCCTGAACTTGTGTGACTCCTGTAGTTTTCATAAAGCATGCAATTTCAAGGACTAGATGTGATCTGCCAGGGCAGCTAATAAGCAGATACCTGCTGCAGGAAACAGATGGATGCCAGCCGTCTTTGCCAGCTGTCTCTTTCTAAAGGATAATCCCTATCGTTGAGTGGAACACATTAATATGCTTTCACTTCATCAGACCAAAAAGCTCTCTCTTAGCAGGTACTTGTACAGAGGAGAAAGTTCAACCGAGAGAATCTTCTCCAGTTTTGCCTGCCAGCATCTTTCAGATATTTGCAGTTATACCATCTTTAGATTCGCAGGCTGGACAATGCTGAGCACATCAGCTTGGTCCAGCAAATGCCTACGCCTGTACTTTGCTTGATCATCAAGCATGAGCAGTCAAAACAACTCAGTCAACTTCAAGACTATGGTTGTGTGTTTCTCCACATACAGACTAGAGCTCAGCAGCGAGGACTGAAACCTAAGAGAGCAGCACATTAGTATCAGAGAATACAGGTCCGCTGCATCCAGGAATCCCTTTAGTACTCATTTCTCCTCTTTCCTCTACCTTATGCCGCAGGGAACAGTCGAAGAGGGTATTTCAGCTCTCCACCAGCCGCCTGGAAGCTGACCTTTCTAAGGGTGGTAACAACACTACTGAACACTCTACCAACACTGAAGAGTGCTTATGAGCAAAAAGTCTGTTTGTGTACAAATGATAACATCTCCCCAAGTTAAGCTGCAATGTGCATAGTTGTTGCACAGAAAGTACCTGGCCTCAGTTTGTAAAATAAGTATTTGTAGCAAGTATCTTTGAAATCCAGTGTTTATTTTTCCTTATTATTTAGCTAAACACATGGAATGATTTAGCATTGGGTCTGTGAATCTTATGTCTCATTACAGGTATTGTAGACTTTCTGAGGAGACCTAAACATTTGACTGAGAGCTGGTGGGTTTTTTATCCTGAGTGTCTCTATGCCAGATAACAAATAAGTTGTATCATTTTGAAAGTTCATGACAAAAATGAATCCTAAAAATGTACCGAGTTTTATGATAAATTTATGTTGCTAACATGTTGCAATCTTTTAAGATTGTTTTCCAACTCACACTGACTTCAGGAAGGTAAACCTACTGAAACCAGTGGCTTTATCGTTTTTATTGTGATTATATGTATAGTTTAGATTTGATACAACATATCCTCCAATACTGTTTTGCAAATTGGAGCCTAATCCTATTTCCTTTGAAGCTGGCTAGCAGAAGTCTGCTGGTTTCAATGGGAGGATAATTCCTTTTTGTGAATAAGGAAAAGCATTCACATAAAATAATACTGTCAGAAATGAAGAAATACCTAGTGGTGTCTATAAACTCAGAGAGTTAAAATTCTCACCAAATGTTTATTTCAGAAACAGTGAAACACTGCATGTTGTACAGGGACATGAACAGCTAGAATGATGCAAACTGCCTATAAAAGTCACTATTTCAGATTTTCTATGTCTATTCTAACACCGTCTCTCTTTCCCTCTCTGATTTTTTTACTTCTTGGTATTCTTGTATCTGTTGTGAATGACACTGGTTTACTATTTGCTCTAGTGCTTTTTATTCCTGTGGCGACAAGTATAATACTAGTTGCAAAGCTGACAATATGCTAAAAACTAAAAGGAAATATCTCTATGTGTCAGTGATAGACTCAATCACATGTGTACTTCTATATTTATCATTATTTTCAATTCCCAGTGCTATTCCATACAAGCACAGAAAGTTTCTTGTGTACAGTTTAAATTTACATATTTAATTTGCTTAATGCCCTCTGGCTTCACATTTGAGTGTGGAAATTTAAAAGGAAAAGTGATATTTCTAATGCTACATTGTACCTGTGATTATTCCATTATAAAATTGACATTTTTCATTTCAGAGCTTCTGGAGTTTTATTATGCCTTATACCTCTCCGATCACAATATATAGCAATGGTTCATGACATATTTCCTTATGGAACTGGTGATGTATGCTTCCAAGCAGCTAGAAAATACTCTTGGGAGTATTAACAATGCTCGTAACATAATGAAACCTATTTTCACCACTGGCATTCATGCTTTTTGCCTATTCAAGAGGTATAAAGGACGTGGATATAGGCTATACTGAGTTCCAACCTGAAAGAAGCTTCCAGACAGACAACCACAGCTGGACATTCTTCCCTGCTCCCTCTGGGGGGACAGAGATGTTTCTGAGCTGCTCATGCAGTCAGCTGGCACAGATCAGAGCAGGATCCAGGCTGCTTTCACCTTTGGTGGGACTGGGGTTGGCACTGGACATGCAAAACCACCAGGCAGTTGTTACTGTCGTCTTGCCAGAGTGCCGTACCCTTGGCACTCCACAAGATCGAGACTGGTTTAATTTATTTAAGTGAAGTTGCACTGAGGTGAATACATTCCAGGACAATTTTTCATTTCTCCTGGCAATCAAGGGCACTTCTCCTGTTGTCTGCGTTGCCAGCCCCTATCCTAGCTTCCTCCTGCCTCTTGGTGCTGCTGCATTCCCATTCCATCCCATCCCTGTGCCAACCCCTATTTGCAGCAGGTCTGCCCTTTTCTCCTTCATGTGGATGTTTCTTGGGTCATCCCCTCAGTTTGAGAACAGCTACATGAGTGGGTTTTAGACTGGGGGCACTGAAGGCAGCGGCTGATGCAGTAGCAGATCTCCCTCTCCTGCATGTTCAGGTAGCCCAGGCATTGCTTTATTCTGTGCCAGCTGGAGGGAACACAATAGCGCTTCAGAGCATTAAAATAAAACAACAAAAACATGAAAGCTACCAATGTAGTCTTATTTCTTACAAAGAGATGACCACAGAATTTTTGTCCTTTCTACAATGAAAATAAAGGAAGGGGCTACAGGAGGACATGGTGCTCTTTTTTTGTATAGTAACAGTGAGGCTTCCCTTACCTTTTCTGCTTTGGAATAGCCACTTTGTGGTGCACTCTGTGGAAGAGATGTTAGATTTCGTGCTCCAGGGCTTAAGCCAGTATCAGGCCCCCAAAGATCAAGAACCAACATGGGAGATGTTACTTCTGACCACTGCAAGATTCCTTCTGCCTTCTTCAACCTGTGCTGTGCGGTGCTGGCTCCTCCCAGGAGCAGGGTACTGCACTAGGCCAATTCACCCTGAGCCAGTCGGGCACTTCTGCTGATCCAAAAATGAAGATGCAGACATAATAATTACCGAGAAACTTGTGCTTTCAAGTCAGGGGGGGCTAAAGCTGCAACCTCAGAGCAGCGTGTTCACTAACTTGAGAAGAAACCTTGAGGAAGTCCAGCCTTGCACACCGGCCCGGTTTGCTAGAGGAACCAAATGAGAGTCCTCACCAAAGCTGGTGCCTGGGTATCAATCACCCCATCACCTGGACATTCCTGGGTTAGTTACCTCTGACAAACCCGAACCTTTGCAGGAGCCAGGCAGTCAAATTGCCTGAGCACACAGACCACCTCCTGTGTCGACACTCCCCCAGTGAGACAGAGGGATGGGGCTACTGACTCCGGGAATTCTGTGCCTTGACATTGCTGTGACCATGAAGCAGAACGCAGGATTTCAAGAGGTCTGTGCGGTTATCCTCGCGGAGCAGATAATCCCAGCTGTAACCTGCACCTCACGGACAGCCAGCAGGGAGGAGACACTGAGCCAGGACTCTCACATGAAGGCCTTTGCATCAGTCCAGCAAATTGGCCATACTGAAGCATGCCAGAATGACCACACCCCACGCGGATTTCCCATTTCTGTTACAAGAGACCATCCGCCTTCTCTGACCATGGGCTTGGGGATGGCTTCTTTTCTATAGGAAACATCTGATCCGCCCTAATCCCAGCCACAGTTTATATGTCTGCATTGGTTTAAGTTTTCAAGATGTCTTTGTGAAAGAAATAACCACCTTACTTTAAAATGAAGAAAAGCATAAACCTTTGTATTTCAAAGATCCCGAAAGCAGAGGTGAGGGGTCCCTCAGCAATAAGATCCTGGTGCTGTTTTGCATGTCG